TTGAAGTTTATCTGAAATATTTCGCATATTATATTAATTTGTAACACTGAATTATACAAAGAAGAAAATTACTGTTATTATTATTAGGATTAATTATCATCATTTACAGACTTAATGGAATACTCATATCAATCATCATCATCATCATCATCATCATCATCATCATCTGTCTACTTGTCCTTTGACCCGTGACGATCCGGGGTAGAATAGGTCTTCAGCAACCCATGCTTGCCACAAAAAGCGACTATGCTTGTCGTAAGAGGCGACTAACGGCATCGGGTGGTCAGGCTCACTGACTTGGTTGACACATGCCATCGGTTCCACTTGCGCAGATCGATGCTCATGCTGTTGATCACTGGATTGTTTGGTCCAGACTATTATTTACAGACCGGTGCCATATAGCTGGAATATTGCTGAGTGTGGCGTAAAACTAAACTCACTCACTCACTCACTCTACTGGTCCTTTAGGTTCCTCATATCATTCTTGACGTTAAGCAGTTTGTTTGTTAGTTGTTTAACGCTATACTCAGCAATATTTCAGAAATATGTTTCAGCCTGTGAATGATTGAGTCCGGACCAGACAATTCAATGATTAATTAGAAAACAACAATCGTCTGCATCTGTATGGTTTCACATGATCAAACCATGAAAATTAAATCAAAGCAATTAATATACATAAAGAATTTGACACAAATTGAAAAATTACACCAAAAATGGAATATCTATAATGACACAAGGCAATTAAGGCATGAGGAGGGACAGAAGGCGGAGTCTGTGGTGAGTGAAGGCCCCAAACACCTTTTTAATTTAGCGAGATGGCTTCAAGTGGCGGCTAACATAGGTCCATTGAAATATAACGGTGAGTGAATGAGTGAGTTTAGTTGAAGATCAATTGTAACCCGGATCTTCAAATGACACACTCCTTCCCAGCTGAAATGGTCACCATGGTTTACCACGGAATACATTGTCCAACAATTGCCATGATCAAGTATATTGAAACTCTATATCAATGGTTCCGAAATCGTTTGCGTTCGATTATGAGAAAATGTGATCGATTGCATGGTTGTTTGGCCACTGCGATTATTTCAATAAATCGGAAAGCTTCTAGTGTACACACATACAAACATTATAACATCAGGTGTTACAACATCAGGTATCTAGGTCAAAAGCCCCTCGGGACGAAAGCCCTTGGTACAAAAGCCCCTCGAAAAATGACCAAAAGCCCCTCACTTTACGATTAATGGGAAAATAAGATTAAAGACAAGAAATGATTAATGACATGAAACATTTTATTGCATCATAATAAAATGGCCTTGAATAAAAATAAATGAATATGTAATTAGCAAATAATTTTATTGAAAAAGAAATATGCATCATCAAAATACCAACCAGATTTTCCAAGAAAGCAGTTATCACATTTTCTCCATTTCCTTTACATTGATATGTTATAATATAAATATATTACAAATTATATAAGAGCAATGAGAAATGTTCTTTCCTTAATGAAATACATGAATTTAGGGCCCCCGCCGTGGTGTTGCTGGAATATTGCTAAAAGCGGCATAAAACTAACTCACTCACTCATGAATTGAGGGGCTTTTGACAGGGGTGCTGATATTAGAGAGGGGATTTGGTCGAGGAGCTTTTGTACCAAAGGGCTTTTGTCCTGATGGCTTTTTAGTTGGTACCCCTGAATATACCACCAATAGACAAACTGGGGTGTACCCACATGTTAAGTATTTTTAGTCATATCAAATATTTTTATCGTTATTTTATGTCAAATACTTATATCGCTATTCTCTCTGTGGCCTTTGCTTAGTTTAAACCTAATTTCAACTTAATGCTGTGCGTTGATGAAGTCAAGGTAACCAATACTTAGCCTACACCGGAAACTGTAAATGTCGGTGAAAAAGCAGATCTCCATGTGTTTGCAGGGATGTTATTTACAACTCAAAAAATAGCCTGACACATTGACACTAACAAATAGATGACACACAATGTGTAGGAACTTACTGATCCAAGCTCCTCCTTCTCATGTTAATTGTCCATAATACGATCTGCTACCCTTTTCGTTATCTAAATTCAATGTGAGCCCCTAAAACAAATCAGCTACCCTTCCCACAATCTCAACCCACTAATTACCTCATAACGTCACTGACAAGGATGCTGTGTACATTTGTACTAACGAGGAATTGCTGGTAATACAATGCAGTTATATCACCAAACCACTGAAATAAATGCTAAATGCTAACATGGTAATAATTCATGTATGTTTAACAAAGCACTTAGAAGGGTAAGAAATGTAGGGTAACTCTAAATCTGGTCACACACGATTTCCAGGGTATTTAAGGACCGTTCATAATTTATGGCTAGGGGTTGATGATGATTTTGAGGGGGGTCACCCAATTTGTTCTGGGGAGATAGAGGGGGTCATCAATTTTGTACACATGTACTAGGGGTCAGCAATTTTGTACATAAAAATATGCTTAAAAATTGTGGGGAGGGGGGAGGTAATTTATTTTGTACATGACATGCAGGTGGGGGTCACTTACTTTGTACATAAACTTAAGGGGGGTCATTCACATTGTACATGCTTCTTCATAAAAATCATCATCACCCCCTAGCCATAAATTATGAACGGCCCCTTAAATCTTATAAATTAACAAAATTTACAGATATTTCAGACATAATATATGAAAACGTTGGCCATATTCACACATATTTGTCATATTTGTTCATAGTCTCCCAAATGCTCATATTTTTCATGACCTGAGCGACAAATGCAAACGTGGCAGTCGAGTGGTGCGTACATTCCCAACGTTGGTCATATGGGCCTTGGATGATACGTTTATTTCCTCACACGGTTAAATTTGGGCAATGCTATTGCTTTGCCTGTAAACATCTAAGAAATCATTACTGGGGAAGAGGCTTGTGCAAACTCTGACAACTGGGAGCTTGAAAATATTGTGCTGTGAGTTAAAAAAATATTTGGCTCTTCCTGATAAAGATGAAAAAATTTGGTCTAAAAAAAATCCTTGGCGCCAGATGAACCTAAACAGTCAGTCCCTTAGCTTAAATAAGATAAAAAATATTTTATGACTTTGGGTGGTGTCTTGCTTAAATCAGTTCAGGATACAAAGATCTGAAAGTGTCCTCCTATCAAGCTAAACAATGCTTCAAGAAATATAGGGATAATCACAATCCTGTTGAGTTAAACAAAATATCAATATTAGGCCTAACCTTAGTATTTGAAAATCGTATTCAGAATTAAGTGGGGTGGTGGGGTAGTCCAGTGGTTAAGGCGTCTGCTCGTCACGCTGAAGACCCGGGTTCGATTCCCTACATGGGTACAATTAGACCAATGCTTAGTCTCTGAATATATATAATTTTGATAGTAACAAACAAGCCCATTTAAATTGAAAAGGAGCCCTAGAAGGACCAGAGATTCAGAGACTAAGAACATCTGCATTGGGGCTACAGTGGCTGGGGTCATTACCAATTAGAAGTCACATCATACAACCATCAGATAACGGTATAAGTGACAGGCATATTTATTGGTCATCATGTTAAGCCCTGTCCTATCTCCATGATGTCATCAACTCATGTGGGCCAGTCAAGCCCCCCTACTGCCTAACATTTTACAGTTTGGAAACTTGCAGCCCACAATGTCACTTGGAGACTAGATGACCAAGGTGCAAGATCTATCTGGAACACCAACAAAATTATTTATGAATTTGAACTTATGTCCAAATTCAAAAGTTTCCATTTGTATAATATGCGAAGAGGATATTTTTTAAACAAACTGAAAAGACCAGCGTCTGTCTTATGCTTGAAGATGTTCTGGGTATTTCTAGATACAAGATCATCCTCACTAGATTTCACCTTGCATGCCTCAATCACATCACGAAGGTAAACAGATTTAATTCCGAGATGATGTGCCTTTTCAATCTGGTTCTTCATGAGAAGGCGAACTAACGGGGTTGGGTGGTCAGGCTTGCTGACTTGGTTGACACATGTCATCATATCCCAATTGTGTGGATTGATGCTCATGCTGTTGATCACTGGATTGTCTGGTCCAGACTCGATTATTTACATACCGCCTCCATATATGGAATATTGCTGAATGCGGTGTAAACCCAAACTCACTCACTCACTCTTAATGAGTGCTACGAGTTACTGTTGCTTCGTTTGTTTTGTGAAACAAACGGTACAATTTCAAATGTCAAAGATTTATGGTTTTACGCCGCTTTTAGGAATATTCCAGCAATATCACGGCAAGGAACCCCAAATATGGGGTTCACACACTGTACCCATGTGGGGAATCGAACCCGGGTCTTCGGCGTGACGAGCGAACGCTTTAACCACTAGGCTACCCCACTGCCCCTCTGTTAGTAAGAAAAACACATCGTATCACTTCACGTGAACGAACAAGAGAAGACAACTTTGTCAGCGAAGACGTCAAATTTGCAATTAAACATCACCAGACTAGATTATTTACCTTTTCAGTTCTAATTTGTTTTTGCAAGGCACTGTCTAATATGCAGGTAAAAAGATAACTGTGTGCATTTGTCACATATACAGAGCCAGAAACAGCAATCAGCTGTTCACATGATCTACCAGTGAGTTAGTTAAAACATACCCAATAATATAATGAGATGAATTCTAATGGCAGTTTGAATATATATCACTGTCTGTTGTGTTTATTTTTTTAAAAAATATATTCATTTGTAACAAAAAATATAAATAAATAAAAAATAGAAAAAAAGGAAGAAAAGTTCTCTTTATGCCACCACTTTTGCTGGCGCCATTGAGCTGCGATGTCGATGTGTAATGTATACATTCTATTGGCTGGAACCATCAAGTTTGCATGTTTGGTAATTTGGACAAGCATGTTTGCTATTCAAGAATCTTAAAATTTGAGTATCTTGACAAGACTGGATCAGATCTTTGAATGTTTTAAACCAGATAAAATGTTGTGTATGAGGGGCGAGTTTACTCACTTTTAGCATCAATAAACCTTTCTCGAGGCGTTAAGTCTGACGCAGACAGCTGCTCTTTCACCTTGGCGATGTCTTTTGGATGGAGGATGTCAAACAAGCTCTGGCCTATTAGTTCAGACTGAAAAAAAAGACATTCCATCTTAGTTTTAATCTCACTGATGGTTTCTGTTTAAGTGAAAAGATCGATCAACCTGTTAATTTACAACAATGACAAATGACTTGAAGAAAATGGGTTGAAAAGCAAGCTGAAACTGTCCAATATCTAAATCATCCTACACTATCAAAAGAACTGAGAGAAGAACTATTTTAAAAATTATTTTTGAAGTTATTATACAACCCAGTCATGATGAAGACCCGCTTCGATTCCCCACATGGGTACATCCTGCTGTGATGTTGCTGAATATTGCTAAAAGCGGCATAAAACTAAACTCACTCATTCACTGTTGTATGATATAAATGCTGAACAGAGAGTGAGTTTGGTTTTATGTCCAGGGACAATATCACGGTGGGGGACACCAAAAATGGGATTCACTCGTATCCATGTAAGGAATCGAATCCGGATCTTTGACGTGGCGAGTGAACGCTTTAACCACTAGGCTACCCCACTTCTCCTTAAATGCTGAACAAACTTGTAGTGAAGTGAGTGAGTGAATTTAGTTTAAAGCCGCACTCAGCAATATTCCACCTATATGGCGGCGGTCTGCAAATAATCGAGTCTGGACCAGACAATCCAGTGATCAACAGCATCGATCTGCGCAATTGGGATCCGATGACATGTGTCAAGCAAGTCAGCGAGCCTGACCACCCGATTCTGTTAGTCGCCTCTTACGACAAGCATGGGTTGCTGAAGGTTCATTCTAACCCGGACCTTCACGGGTACTTTTAGTGAAAGGACTACTTGTTGGCTGTCATGGGATAAATAAAAAGCTGTCCTTTAATTTGAAATACAGATAGGCAAGATGCTCAGTGACCTAAAAACATTGTCTGCCAGAATAACTGCTTATGAAGAAATTTAATTCATAAAAAAATCAAATTAACAACTGTGTATCAATTATGTAGCACTTTGCAAGGAATTATATTTATTATTTTTTACTACTTTCCCGTGGAAGATACTGCAGTGTAATATTTGTATGGCAATATTACACTAGTGTAATACCGCTAGCCATATGACGTCATGATGGTTTACAATTATGATGTCACAATGCTAATACCTCTGTCACAGTGGTACTAGACCTTGCTTGACTCGTGGAAAGCTGAGAGTCATCACACTGTAGGCAGTTTCTATCAATTTATGTTGCAGAGTAATAAACAGAATACTTAACTCACTTACGTGAAACACCATTTTTATTATACAGGTGAAAGATTTAGCATCAAACTCCAATTGCTGATTTGATTCCAAATGATTAACTTGTTCAATAAAAATGGTATTACACGGAAGGTCGTTTAGTATTCTCTATATACTATCATTATTATTCTATTATTTATTTTCATCACAATGAAAACTTCCATGACTATTTCTGTGTACTTTGCACAGGCAACGAACAAAAGCAAATGACAAGACAGGAACATTTAGAAGAATCTGCCATTCCAACACGACAGTTTGACAAAATAATTAGCGTTACATGCCATTTCCACATCAACAATTGCATAGAGGTCATGATTATTTCTAAATCCCTGATCTTATTGACTGAGACTACAGAACGTCCATCATTGGATTACAGACATTCAGTAAATGTCAGAATCATTCACTACAATAACACTAAATATATACAGAGTTCATCTTTCTGACATTTCATCATTGTGCTTGTGCCTTCCTAAGAACTGATCCTAATTATGGTAACCATCAGTCAAAAAAGGTCAGAATTTTTTCAAACAAAAAATCCCCAAATAGTTCTTACATATTTTTTCTGAAGTCATTAGTCATTTTAGTTGAAAAACACTAAACTCCAATTAACCATCAATCATTATTTTTTCATCCACCTCACAATCTCTTTCTTGCTTTTCTGAGTGTCTAAAAATACAAATCTCAGCTATATCTTACATAAATAACCAAGAAAATACCACAAAGGAAACATAGCATTATCTAAAACATGACCAAAACTGAAACTGAGTGATATTTTTTCAAATGAGGGTCTGTTCAGCCTTAAATCAACTATTCATAAAGGTTGAAAAAAATGCAAATATTTCTGAACATGAAACAGGAGATGTAGCAGCCATTTTGTGAATAAGGTGACACATGGTAACATTATCCTGACAACTAATAAGTTTACCTCACCTTCAAAGTTGCTAGTGTGAAGTTTAATTCAAATTTGAAATTGAATCATTTGTTAAAAGTGGGTCAAGATTGTCTGCCTGTCAAGAAGAAACAGAGAAGTGAGAAATCCAGTATAGTCGATACAACGGTGACCTCGAAAGCCACCGCCCAACCTGGACAAATATGGCATTGATTAGGTAAAGCTTGCAGCAAACATCACCCTGACTGGTAACACTCTTCAACCACAAGTACACGGTATGGTTTGACAAACAAAGACACTAAGGTCACTGTTTAGATGGGTCTTTGCAAAGTCCCTAAACGTTTGCGATGAATACATGATACTTCCTTTTGAAAATGAAGCATTACACGCTAGGACTGAAAAAACAGGAAAACGAACACCCATGTTTCCTGCAGTGATTGCGATGACTTGTACAGGCCCGTGTTCTGTTGGGTTTGGTGGGCCCATTAAACAAAGACTACTTGACATACGCTTCTGTACTTATTTACGATTTACCTATGTCTCGGTTTTTCCTTTGCCAAAATTGTTTACATGTTTTGGGATGATCTGAATCAAGATTTGTTGATTTGAATTGGAAGACAAAAGGATTCAGGTCTCTTGCTGATGTGACCGAATTTCGCAATATTCATGCACAGATTAAATGTAATTGTGATCATGAATATTATTCTAAAAATGCAGAATTATGATATAATGAATATACATTCACTATAATGTGCATAAAGAAGACCAAACTTGAAAGTCAGAATGTGCAGTGAAATTTTAATTAAAAATATTCAAAATCTTTGGCATCCTAATTAAAAACCCCGTGGATTCCTGAGAGAATACCGGTCTCTGCTACATTCGTGTCATGTGACGGACTGATAATTTGAGATGAGTGTCGACTTACATTAGATTCTTCGAAGCCACAGTTTAATAAATAGGACCATGATCACAGTTGCAATATCCAGTTACTATACATGATGAATTTACACCATGCTTGTACTCAGATGACTATTTTTATTTGGATGCTTTTATCAGCTATGTAGATCTCAGTGTGAACAAATGTCTTGTGCTTGCTAGTGGTCAGACAGACAACCTAGTGTTTCAGTAAATAATTCATGTTTGATTGAGATTTTCTGCTGAATAAACAAACAGCCTTAAACCCAATGTTTAATGTTCCAAAACCCACTCCTAACTCAACCCCCTAACCCAAACTCTATCCCAACCATTAACCCTAACACAAATTAAACTCAAATGTCTAACCCCAACAGTAGCTCAACCCCACACCCAGCTTAACCCTAACCCCAATCAACCCCTAAACTCTAACTCAACCCCAACCCCTAAACTCCAACCCCAAACCCCACCCAACCTCCCAAACCCTACTCAACCCCTCAAACCCTACATAACACCACTCAACCCCAAACCCTAATAACCTAACCTGCAACCCCACTCCTAACTTAACTCACCCCCAAAGCCCCACTCCTAACCTAACACACACACACACACACCCTCAAACTCACTTTCAACCCCAACCTAACCCCCAACCAACTCCATTCCAAAACCTGACTGAATACCCCCCTCCTCTCAACAATAAACAACAGATACAAGATGAACTGGAACTCTAACACTGAAGCCCTATACAAAAAGTGTCAACAATGTCTTCATCTCATGCGTAAACTGAGATCTTTTAACAGAGTATTTTAACATTTTCCTTCCATTGTTGGTACGGGTCTCTCTCACTTCATCTCAAATCTAAAATAGACACTGCAAGTAAAATCGCTGGAGTCAGATTTGAATGTTTATCATCAATATATGAGCGGCAAATCGTGAATCAAGCTGTCAAAATCATATCTGACCGTACTCACTACTTAAATTCGAAATACAACCTCCTCCCTTCAGGCCGCTACAAAGTTCCAATTGTGAAAACTAAGAGAGCCCGTACATCCTTTATTCCAAGTACCATATCTCTCTTAAACAAATGTGAAGATACCTAAATCAAAGAATTTATGTTAATATGTTTGGTATCTCTCTAATGTGTCAGTAGCTCTGCTGATGTAACACAAATTCCTGAAAAGGCATTAAAGTATTATTCTATTCTATTCTATTCTATTCTATTCTATTCTATTCTATTCTATTCTATTCTATTCTATTCTATTCTATATGTTTAGTCTAAGCTGATGGGTGTCATGGAACTAAGAATCAAAGCTCCAACAATATAAAGCCAGTTTGTCTGGCAGCCGGAGACGTAATGGCCACTTACTTGTGAGTAGTTGAGGACCTCTTTGACAGACTCTGACACATACAACAGCCTCCCTCGATCACAGCCTATCACAAACAGAAAGCCCTCGGCCACCTGCAAAATTAAAAACAACAAAAACAAATTCAGCAATGTATGTTAAATAGGGTTGGGTATTGGTAAACATTTCACATTGCGATATATCGTGATATGTGTTGGCGTATTGCAATATATTGTGAAAGTGTTACACATGGTTTAAGGTAATGAAATTACTGTTTCCTTTCTTCTGAAACAATGCCACTGGCCACTGTCAGGATGTGATTGTACAAGAGATCAGTTGAAAATGTTTCCAAATTGTTTATCCCTACAACGAGTGCCAGTACCAATCTATTTTTTTCTTCTATTTATATGGTTTAAGAGACACGCAAATGCAATTATATGACCAAAAAACTATTCTCAAATTCTCAAATCTATAAATGTATAATAACATAAAGGACATACAAAAGTTAATCATATTTTTTACTACATCACGAAAATTACCAATCATGGTCACGGAAGTTGAGAACCATATTGGGTGAACCGGGTCTCGAAAAGTGTACCGCAATATATCGTATTGTGAAGTTTGAATTGCAATATACCGGTTAACCGGTATTATCGCCCACCCCTAACGTTAAGTTGTAAAAAAATTAAAAAGCAAAAATATATGATACAGTTCAGAATATTTTATTGAGAAAATCTCACTTTCCCCAACATTATAGAATAAATGGACTGTCATTTACTGAAACACCTCTACCTAATTTATATAAATGCCATTGTCACTGACAGAAAGCTTTGCAATTTCATTTAATTACAAGGTTATTTGGTTCAATGGAAAAGTAATTACTTAGGACCAGTAATCGGTAATCAGATGCCAATCCCTCCATAAGTAAACCCTGAATAGATGACATTTGCGATCGTCCAGTCACTTATTCAATATCACTAGCAATCACAATGATTAAAAAGCCACACACCTGCTGTATGGGAAGTGGCAGTATTTATTAAAAATCATTATTTCACCGACTGTTAAAAACATACTTAATGAGGTTTTTGTATCTTAAACTGAAGTTCCTAAGTTTTGTAAACTCAAATAAAATAAAAGTAAATTTTCTATCCAGGACACAGCTGGGTCTTGCTGTCTTCAACAGAGACAGTACTGGAGCTAATATTACCTTCAGTATGAGATGCTTGAGTTCGTTGTCAGTGATGAAGGAAGGCTTGAGGCTCACTTCAGAGTACATATCGTTGGAGCCTGCAATTCAAGAGCATCCAATTATTAGAGTAGCGGTACCGGTAAGTGAGTACGATATTTTGTACACTGCTGGTTGTAGTCTGAAAGTGTGATATATTGGACATTGCTGACTGACTGAGTTTGGTTTTACGACGCTTTTAGCAATATCTGAAAATCAAGTGTGATACACTGGACTTCACACATTGTGCCCATGTGGGGATAACCGGGTCTTCGCTGGACATATTGGATAACACTGGACATATTGGACACTGAATACAACAAAATTCCTTTCATATCACAGGGAGTCCAGGAAACATAACTGAAATATGTTCACATATTTTGAAAATGTCTACAGATGATAACCAGTACAAACACTGGAGTACATCCAAAGATCAGCAGATCCTGCCACAGTGAAGGAATACAACCCCAAACTGTGATGATTTAAAACCACAGGCATACCTTGCCACATAGATTTTTGGAAATAAATATGTTTAAACCACATAGATGAGGTCAAAGACAAAAATGTGTTTGTGTGATAAAAGGTTGACATATAACAAAACTTCACCAAGATTTCTTCAAGCTGAAAGGTACAATTATGATGAAAAACACACATGTGCTTCTCAGGAAAATGTCTCAGAATGCTCTTATTTCACTCTGATTCCAAGTGGGGTGGTGGGGTAGCCTACAGGTTAAAGTGTTCGCTCGTCACGCCAAGACCCAGGCTCAATTACCAACACGGTACAATGTGTGAAGCCCATTTCTGGTGTCACCTGCCATGATATTGCTGGGATATTGCTAAAAGTGGCGTAAAACTAAACTCACTCACTCACTCTGATTCCAAGTGGAATAATGGTGCTTAAGAGAGTCTTGACAGATAATTGTTGCTTGCTATTTCTCAGTTTACTGTTTTTTTCTTTCAGACCGATCAATATAATATCTTGCTAAGTCTCAATAATTTCCACAACTTGAAAATAAAAATATGTTTTTTTAATTTCTTGCCAAGTTAAGAGAAAAACACAATCTTCTGGCTTTTCAGATTTAACTTGATATCATCCTCATGGTTGTGGTTGACCTTTAACAGGTTTTTCGATGAAGCCAGACCAATTTTATTTCTTGTTTTACGGATCCGCCAGTCATATATTTTTCAAGAAAAAGAAATAAAAGTTAATTTTCCCCGTTTAAAAAATAAAATCCTGATGTTCTATTTGTCAAACATGTAAATTTACAAGAACAGGTTTTTTTAGATTGTGTTTTGCCCCATATACACTTCATAAATTGCCCAAAGTAAAATACTTTTAGGATTTATATATTTTAAAAAAAAAAAATTTCCCCTCCTGCCTTTAGGTTTTCTGAGGACAAAAATCTGTAAAACAAGAAATAGAATTGGTCTAGCCTGAAGAACTGAAGCAACTTCTCGGCAGCTAATATACAATGAAATATGATAATATATACTGAGAGAAACAAATAAAGGATCACTGGAAAATTCAAGCGTTCCTTCATTATTTTCCAGTTTCCATCACCACAGCGCTATTCAAAGCAGGTGATGAAAACTGGAAAATCTTAAAGGAACACTTGAACTTTCCTGTGATCCTCTATTTGTTTCTCTCAGTATATATCATACTCAGCCAGGACAAACTAATCCCCTATCAACTATGTCAAATAAAGAAATTCTACAACACACATTAAGTGAAAAATGCTTATTTCAAAATGTTAATATATACATCATCTATTTCATGAGTCATTTTTAAAGGTCATAAATGTTCATATACTACTTTAATCAAAATAAGTATATCACAATTCAGTTATTATCAAATTCAATACATTTTCTTTTTCAAAGCTACACAAAGTTCAACACATGAACTTCACCATTTTTTCAAGACAAAATATAAACAAGACACTTGTTTATATTTTAAGTTTGCATCATTGTAAAAAGATCCTGGCAGATATTCAATGCAAACTGCAACAAACTTTTTTCGCACTATGTTTGATCGAAAATGTTTCATGTACTAATTAATTTGATGAAGATTTTATGGACATTATGTCTTGCTTGTAACTTGTGCAGCTTTTTCTATTCAAAGTGGGTAAAAATTTAACTGTTTTTGCTTGTTTTCTTTGGGATGCGTGAAGATCCGGGTTAAAATTTATCTTCAGTAACCCATGCTTGTTGTAAGAGGCGACTAACAGGATCGGGTGGTCAGGCTTTAATGCTTGACACATGTCATCGTATCCCAATTGCGTAGATCGATGCTCATGCTGTTGATCACTGGATTGTCTGGTCCAGACTCGATTATTTACAGACCGCTGCCATATGGCTGGAATATTGCTGAGTAGGACGCAGAACTAAACTCACTCACTCACTCACTTGCAGGTACAGTGACTTTGATTGAGTGGTGTATGTCATTCCATGCACACAATTTCTTCATTTAAACTTGAGACTCAAGGTTTCTTGTACCTGAGGCCTTTGGCCCATAAACATAGTAGCACAATGGCAGGCAAGGTATGGACAATGCAAATAGTCAAAGCATCATAACATTGTGTAATTAGTTGCAAGAAGAAAATAAACTCGTTCCTTAAAATGTCAATGGTTGTGTGAGATACAGGGCTAATTTTACATGAACAGATTCGACTTCTGATGATAAAAAATCTGATATGTGTTTCCCTAGTAGCACCACATAAACGTTTCTGTAGAACATAATCTTTTCTTAAATTGATATATGCATCACATATAAATAACAGATAATACTCATCTCCGATATCGACTCCAGAAGGAAAGACTAAATTGTCACTTGCACTAAATAATATATTTTTTCTGTTTATCAACATACCATAACTCTTGATAATCTGATGAAAGAATAATTGCACAATATATAATTTCCACAATATATGATTAAAATTTCCTGCACATATCAGTATTCGACTAGTTTAAAAATATATAATCAAGTATTTCAAACACTGGTTATGATGTCAACATTACCAAAGTCAATGTTGCTTGGAAAATCATCCTATGGACATAAAGTCTTTTCACAAGGAATAAAAAGTACTTAAAACAGCCATTTTCTCTGTATCCCAGGAGGCATGGAATCATCAGAATGTTTGTATAACAATTCCAAGGCTATATTTTGAGGGCAGATGGTAGTTGTGTAACGTCTTTGACACCGAAGATCCTTGACACACATGTTACATAAAATCCCTTGAGTTAGGTTGCTTTCACACAAATAATTTATTTGATATTAGATCACATGAGTAGTTGTAAGGTCAGTATGATCAGTTTGTTTTGAGTTTCACATTTCAGCGATGATTTTGATTAACTGCGTTGGAATCTTCTTCAAAGGAGAAAGTCCATGTCAGTGTCAAAATCAAACATGTAGAAATAATTGCAGCAACTTCTTTAATTCAAAATATTTTTCTGTGGAGAATTACCCTTTTTATACATTTTGAAAATAGTCATGTCTGGAATCATTACTAATGGTTGAGTGAACTTTACAAAATATGACGTGTCATTGTGAGTGAGTGAGTGAGTTCAAAGTCATTTTGGCATTATTTCAGCTATATTGCAAGTGAGTGAGTGTAATCTAAGTCATTTTGGCATTATGTCAGACATATTGCGAGTGAGTGAGTTTAATCTAAGTCATTTTAGAACTATTTCAGCCATATTGCGGGTCAGTGAGTGAGTGAGTGAGTGAGTGTAATGCTGCTTTGCAAATAATTCCAGGCGTGATAGACAAATATGGGAGGAATGCCAAACACTATGGTCTCAGAACTTAACACTTTGGTAAAACCAAAGCTGTCAAACCTTGATACCTAACTGGGACCAACTGGGATTCGAACCCACAATCATGTGTATCACCCATGCTCAAGGCAGGCAACTCTGCACAGCAAAATGCTGCACCTAAGACAGGGTCACCCATACCCCAAACCAAGTACATATGCACTCACCAAACCAGTGAATGATATCATGAGCATTGATTCCACACAACTGAGATACAATGTCGTGCTACATACCATAAGCCTAATGAATCACAATCATGAAAGACTACAGAATACCGGATATCTTTAAAAACTTTAGAAATGCGCAAAAAATGTGCACAACTCAACTCAAGTTTTTTGTACTTCGCTATCTTAGTGTACCTACTTTTTCAGCCCTTGGATATCCATTACTATTTTCTTTAGGGTTAGTTTAACGAATATGGTTAGGGATAGGGTTAGGTTAGGGTTAGGTAACTTTCCCACGCTCATTCGCTCCAACTTCCAGAATTCCATAGCTCTGCTTTTTCAAGATGCATATATTTTTTATTTGTGATAACTTACCTTTCATTTTCAAAATTGTTGGTTAGTTTTACTAACTGAAGTCGTCCCAAATAATGGTTATTAGTTGTGCAGCAGACAAATTAAATGGATTTAATGGTCATTTTTTATTTTGATGCTCCATTATTTTTCAAATTTTATAGCTTGTGCTTCCCTATTATAGGAAGTGCATGTGACAATAAAGAATATGGTTGGTAGGTATCTGGTATTCTGTAGGTGTACCTTCAATCACCTCAAGCAGAACACTGAGCCCTGATTCATGAGGTCATAGTAACTTGTATAACACATGTCTCCACTAAAACTCAAGGTCAATTGATCCAGTCAGTGGAGCTAAGCCTCTGGATCCCATCCAACATAGTAACATTAAGTAGCTTACTGTCATACACAACTAGATGGCTTTGAAGATCAGAATTAGTAGCCACGCACTGCGATGCTCACAAGGAACGCCTATAATCTGTTCCGGTATTAAGCATCTGCATGAGTATGTTCAAATGAAGAAATAACACGGGTGGTATTCTAAATGTGATGGTCAGTAAACGGTTGCATCTCGCGTTTGAAATTAAAAGTCCACAGTTCCCAATATGTCTGATGACGTCAGATCTGGTGAACAGCTGGTTCCCACACAATAAGCTTGGAGGTGAAATTGGGTTTAACGTCGTGCTTGAGAATATTTCGCTCATATGAAGATGTGCATGCGTGTGTATGTGTATGTGCGGCTGCTTGTACTAGCCCAGACTTAAGCTGGTTTTATAGTGCTAGCCCACTGAGATACCAATTCGCAGTGAAGCATGAATACCCCACTCAGACACATTATACTGACTCCGAGCCGACCAGTCCTTGTTGTACCCATTAATGCTGAGCGCCAGGCAGGCACCAACAAGTACCATTTTTTAACGCCTTTTGGTATGATGCGGTCGGGGATCGAACCGTGACCTTCCGCTCTCCGGGGGGGCACTCTAACCACCACCACCACCACCACCACGGGCGGTCCAATAAGCTTGGAAAACTGGATCATTCTAATCCTCATTTACTGGCTCATTATAAGAAGATTTTTTGTTTGTTTGTTTGTTTGTTTATTTGTATGTTGGTTGGTAGGTTGGCTGGTCAACATCACAGTAAGCATTCTTCTGCAGTTCAAATTCACAAACAAGAACACATAACCATGCATAATCAGCTCCTAGTGTGAGTTTTTTACGTTGTTGTTTAACACCACACTCAACAATATTTCCAGATATATGGCGACTGTCTTTATACAATCGAGTCAGGACCAAACAATCCAGTGGTCAACAGCAAGACCATCATCTACCCAAATGGGATATGTCCAAGTGAGCGAGTCTGACCACCCAATCCTGTTAGTCACCTCTTACGACAATCATGGGTTGCTGAAGACCAGTTCTAGACACAGGTCTGAGTGATGGGTGAGTGGGCGAGATAAAATTAGATATAATAGCAGCAATATTTCTGCCACATTGTGTTGGTAGTACTCAACATAATTCCCAGTACAAGATGTCAGTAAAAGATGTAGAGGATACTAAACAACCTTCTGTGTAATACCATTTTTCTCAAACAAGTTAATGATTTGGTATCAAACGAGCGAAAGCGAGTTTGATACCAAATCTTTCACGAGTTTTGTAAAAATGGTATTTCACGGAAGCGAGTTTAGCATTCTGTCTATTATTCTCCAACATAAATTGATAGAAACTGCCTACAGTGTGATGACCCTCAGCTTTCCACAAGTCACTCAAGGTCTAATCCCATTGTGACAAAAGCATTAGCATTGTGACGTCATAACTGTAAACCACTATGACATCAAACGTCATGCAATGTTATTACACTTTGTGTAATAACATTGTAGATAAATTAAACAGTGCTATCTTTAACGGGTGAGTAATAAAATGAATTCTGCACCAGATATTTGCTTCTTTTATGTTGGTTGGTTGGTTGGTATCACAGTAAGCAATACTGCTGCAAGTAAGATAGGAAAACCAGACAATCCAGTGATTGACATCATGAGCATCTGGGATATGACATGCATCAACCTAGTCAGCCTTTGTTCATCCAATCCTCATTGTTGCCTGTGACAAGGGTGAGGATTATTTCTAACAAGGATTTTCAAGATGTCTGCCCATAGTAGTCAAACTGTGGTAGACACTAGCAATATGTGGATGCATGGTTTAACACATATACCAAAGTCCATTACGAATACACAATGCCATTGAGAAATTGGTCAAATGTAACATAAGTCCACACTCAAGCTCATACTCTCAGTGAGTGAATATGGTTTTACGCCGCTTTTAGCAACATTCCAGCAATATTACGGCGGGGTACACCAGAAATGGGCTTCACACATTATACCCATGTGGGGAATCAAACCCGGGTCTTCGACGTGACACTAACAACAACTACCAGTACGACTTCCATTTTTGTGGAGGAGGTTGGGTAGCCTAGTGGTCAAAGTGTTCGCTCGTCACGCCGAACACCCGGGTTTGATTCCCCACATGGATACAAATGTGTGATGCCAATTCCTGGTGTCCCTTGCCGTGATATTGCTGGAATATTGCTAAAAGCAGCGTAAAACCCAACTCACTCACTCACTCCATTGTGTGGTGGCTGAGTTTGTTAGATTGCTGTGCTGGAGATCAGGTGCCGGACTCTCAGACTGTGGGTTCACATGATACATGTCAGTATTGTGATTTGCAATAGTTCCACAATCAAGCTGGATGTAATTAGTGTGTAAGGCTACCATATTGTTAAATGATGCTGTCGATAGTTTTATAGATAGGTTATAGCTGTAACCTTTATATTTCAAATTACTTTTCTGCTGAGAAATCTTTTTCCCACATTTTTAAAATAGGAATGATTTGTCTCGAATCCTTACTAATGGTTGAGTGAGTCAGGTTTAAAATCTAAAATATATTAGGTGTCAAAGTGTGCGATCGAAGTACAAGGCGACAGCCCAGTGAGTGAGTGAGTGAGTGAGTGAGTGAGTGAGTGAGTGAGTGAGTGAGTGAGTGAGTGAGTGAGTGTGAGTGAGTGAGTGAGTGAGTGAGTGAGTGAGTGAGTGAGTGAGTGAGTGAGTGTAATGCTGCTTTGAATAGCTGCAACTGTTCACAATGCTATTCTCTCGATTAACAATGTATAACTCACAGCAAAAACATATTAGTCTGTCACAAGTAGATTGTTAATCAGTTCCATAGCTCTCTGAATAGTACTGGTATATGCGTTCTAATGTAGAGTGTGTCAGTGAATGAGTTTAGCTTTACTCATACCTGTGAAGATCTGGGTTCAAATTGATCTTCATTAACCCATGCCTGTCGTAAGAGGCGACTAACGGGATCAGGTGGTCAGTCTCGCTGACTTGGTTGACACATGTAATCAATTGCGTAGATCGATGCTCATGTTGTTGATCACTGGATTGTCTGGTCCAGACTCGATTATATACAGACCGCTGCCATATAGCTGGAATATTACATTAAACAGCAGTGATAAACAAACAGTGATATCAAAATTGTAGCTAAACCAGCTAACACTGAACCATCACTTTATAACAAAACACTTCCTACCCCTCAATGACTTCATGTGCTGGACGGCCATACGGAGAACGGTGAGTTTGTCCAGTTTTCGGTTCATGGCGCTGCACATCGGAATCATGGAGGACAATTCAGTGATATAGGAGTTCATCTTATCACGTCTACGTTTCTCAATCTCGCTGTGGTTTTGTCTGAAATATTAAGTAAGTGAATAAACGTGAATCATTATGGAAAAATCGGATTGAAAAGCTCCACTGTCCTTTCCAATATTACTCCAGAGATAGAATATAACAAAGAATACTGATTGTGGGTGAATAAGCAGCAAATTACCAATGTTTGAAAAGTACCCCTGCTCCATTACAATCAAAGACTTTCAGGAACCTTTCTGACCCTCTTAAAGAAAACCATCAAACTTGCAGAAATGCTTTTGACATGCTTTTACGCTTTTTAATAACCTTTCTTATTAGAAAAATCACAGAAAATAAAGCTTTTGACATGCTTTTAAGATTTTTAATAACCATTCTTTTGGGCAAAATCACACAAAATATTGCTTTTTGACATGCTTTTACGCTATTTAATAACCTTTCTTATTAGAAAAATCACAGAAAAAAAGCTTTTGACATGCTTTTAAGATTTTTAATAACAATTCTTTTTGGCAAAATCACACAAAATAATGCTTTTTGACATGCTTTTATGCATTTTGATAGCATTTTTAGCAAAATCTCAGAAAGTGAAATATAACAAAAATGAAAAGGAGAATGTGTATACTAAATACAGTACTAGTTGATATAGTGCATAGAGCTCAGGTCACAATCAGTTGAAGTTAAGCAACGATGGGCGCGGAGAGTCCTTGGATGGGTGACTCCTGAGAGTTTCTAAGACTACAGTCCTGCCCCACAGTGTAGCACATGTGATACATGTGGTCTCACCTAAGGCAAGTGAGTTTGTTCAAAATTGCCTCTGTTCACTCAGCAGAAAATGGGTACCCGGTGGTATAAGTCGTGAAACTATTAACCTTCTAGTGCCTAACAGGCAGCTTGGGTTACCCAGGGTAACAATAATCACACTGTAATAATGGTCAGATTATGCGCTTTGAGCAGGATATCTAGCCTGGAAAAGGTGCGTTATAAATATTCTCATTATTATTCTCATTAATTCCTGATATCTTCTCCACATCAATATGGGGTAGCCCAGTGGTTACATCGCTCGCTCATCATGCCGAAGGCTCGGGTTCGATTCCCCACATGGGTACATTGTGTGCAGCCCATTTCTGGTGTCCTCCGAAGTGATATTGATGGAATATTGCTACAAGCGGCGTAAAAACCAACTCACTCACTCCAGATCAACATATCTTTGTTTCCATGAATATGTACATATTTGGTTGATAGTTGCTCTACCACTTAAACCAGCAACCAGTGGGTTGATGGGAGTTGCAGCGGTATTGTGGGAAGGCAGGTATGTGGGGGAACAGGTGGAACTTGAGTGAGTGAGTGAGTATGGTTTTATGCCGCTTTTAGCAATATTCCAGCAATATCACGGCGGGGGACACCAGAAATGGGCTTCACACATTGTACCCATGTGGGGAATCAAACCCGGGTCTTCGGCGTGACGAGCGAACGCTTTAACCACTAGGCTACTCCACCACCCCAGGTGGAACTTGAACAGATCGAGGTGATAAAGTGTCTTTGGGTGTCAGTTACCTCTGATATTTCCGTGAACTCCCAGCATCACTGCTGGAGTACATATCTTGGGAGTCATTGTCTTCATACAGCTACTGTCATATCACAGCTGCTGTCATACATGCTGGAAGATGGAACAATACAGTTATATCACAGCTGCTGTCATACATGCTGGAAGATGGAACAATACAGTTATATCACAGCTGCTGTCATACATGCTGGAAGATGGAACAATACAGTTATATCACAGCTGCTGGTCATACATGCTGGAAGATGGAACAATACAGTTATATCACAGCTGCTGTCATACATGCTGGAAGATGGAACAATACAGTTATATCACAGCTGCTGTCATACATGCTGGAAGATGGAACAATACAGTTATATCACAGCTGCTGTCATACATGCTGGAAGATGGCAAAACACAGAAACATTATGAGGGCATTCGAAGAACAATGCTGTGATGTCACAGTCAGGGGAGATAACTGCGTAACTGTTTATGCACACCACCAAGGATAGCTTTAAAGTTTATTCACTTTCAGTTTCTGTATGTGTCTGTGGTACCCACAGGATACTGACAACCATAATCCTGAGGGAATGTTTACAACATAACTGTTTATTTATTAAGTAGCTATTGTCATCCATGTCATAATAAAATAACACAATAATAATTATAGCAGTTCCCTTTCTTGAACATAGAATAATATAAACGATGAATGCTTTCGGAGACAATGTACCAAAGCCATGTTTGACGAAGGAACAACCTAACTTGTTCATTTGACAAATTCCAGAGTCAAGCAAGAACAGTTCAGCATGTCACTTACAAAAGAAAACAGTAAGCAATCTAAGAATTCACGAGAGAAACATCAGGTCAATATTATCCTCATCAGACGAATAAAAACATTTGAAAGAGACTTTCTTGCAATTACCAGAGGAGTATCAAGACACAAGGAAATGTCATAACCTTGGAGACTATAAACATTGCCTTCAGCCATCTGCCTTCCTCTAGTGTCACTAGTAATATATAACTTGTCAGTCGTCTTTCAATGTCACTTAAGATATATAACGCATCTGTTAAACCAGGTCAAGGATCCTGGACCAATCTGTCTTTGAATAATGTCAAGATATTTGTGTGATACTGTGAGTGTGTGTGCTTGATTATTCGTAATTTAGAATCTACTCAACAAAATAAGTTCAGGATCATGACATTTTGAGGAATATTTCATGGTAATGAAGACAGAGGTTCTATCATTGTTAGTAACATCTATGGTTTATAAAAACATTTCATGATTTCTTAATCTTTCTCAGCATACACGCTTTTTATCGATTTTACCTCAAATCATCTCTTAGAATACACTCATGTATTATCCAACTGATAATAATGTATATTATCTCAATGAAGTGATGTATAAATGCAGTTTAATGCACTCAGTACTCAGACCGGATGCTGAGGTAGCCTAGTGGATAAAGTGTTCGCTTGTCACGCCGAAGACCCGGGTTCGATTCCCCACATGGGTACAATGTGTGAAGCCCATTTCTGGTGACCGCCGCCATGATATTGCTGGAATATTGCTAAAAGTGGCGTAAAAACTAAAACTCATCCGTACTCTGGGATCTATAGAATAAATATGCAGGTAACAAGCTTCACTTCAAGACAAACTCCAATTAAGTTCCACACATCAAAATTCGATACAACTGTAGTTGACTGTATTTTTTTAACAAATATGAAAACAAAATGTTCGAGAAATAGGAGAAAATGTCAATTTTCAAAATGATTGCTCTTCCCAACTACTTTTTAATATTTTACACATGAACTTTATAATATACTTCTCCTCAAAAGTTTAGATTCACTTGAAACACTCACTATATGTATTGTATATATATATATGGTTACATCGAACATTGATTTCTCCACTAACTTGGGGGAACCAACTGCAAACTTTATGCAGATGAATTGCACGCGGAAAATGCATCAAATTGCTGAAAAGCATGTGCAAATATCGTGCATGTGAACAGCTGCATTTTGGTGTAAAGTTTTGTTAAGAATTTGCCAATTTTCACTGATTTTTATCATTTACTGAGCTCATGACAATAACTTTTTCAACGTTACAAATTTCTTTTACAATACTGTAGTTCATGTGTAAACAGTACCTTTAAACAGTATGGAACATTTCGCAAAATTTAGTTCAGAACAGTTGCCTGAGGTAAGTGGCTATATTTACACTAGTGAGTCTAAACTTTTGATGAGAGGTATACCGGCATATTGGTCTGGAATATATACATTAATTTTACAAATGATCTTTTCCTTTAGCGAATAATTCTGTTTTACTGCCACCCAATTAAGACTAAACTATGGTATCAGATTAAAGCAAAAGAGTGCAGCTGTCTCCATCTATCAAAGATACAGAACATGACCCTTGCTAATGAGAATAGTCCATGTCACATGACAGATGGTAGAGGGTAGACAATGCCCAGAGGCTGTCAGAAGCATATGGTCAAAATCAAAATAACATCTTTGTTTGAAATATTATTTCTGAATGTACAGAACAACAAGTGTGGTACCCATTAACAACAAATGTGGTGCCCCCTCAACAACAAATGTGGTGCTCCCTTAACAATAAATGTGGTGCTCCCTTAACAGCAAATGTGGTGCTCCCTTAACAACAAATGTGGTGCTCCCTTAACAACAAATGTGGTGCTCATCAACAACAAATGTGGTGCCCCTTAACAACAAATGTGGTGCTCCCTTAACAACAAATGTGGTGCTCCCTTAACAAAAATGTGGTGCTCCCTTAACAAATGTGGTGCTCCTTAATGTGGTGCTCCTTAACAACAAATGTGGTGCTCCCTTAAATGTGGTGCTCCCTTAACAACAAATGTGGTGCTCCCTTAACAACAAATGTGGTGCCCCTCAACAACAAATGTGGTGCCCCTTAACAACAAATGTGGTGCTCCCTTAACAACAAATGTGGTGCTCCCTTAACAACAAATGTGTGCCCCTCAACAACAAATGTGGTAACCCCTTAACAACAAATGTGGTGCCCCTCAACAACAAATGTCAACAACAAATGTGGTGCTCCCAAATCAACAACAAATGTGGTGCCCCCTCAACAACAAATGTGGCAACCCCTCAACAACAAATGTGGCAACCCCTCAACAACAAATGTGGTAACCCCTTAACAAAAAATGTGGTGATCCCTTAACAACAAATGTGGCAGCCCCTCAACAACAAATGTGGCAACCCCTCAACAACAAATGTGGCAACCCCTCAACAACAAATGTGGCAGCCCCTCAACAACAAATGTGGCAACCCCTCAACAACAAATGTGGTGCCCCTAAATACCCACAGTTGTCCTCCACCAACACACTTACTCAATCATTGATCCTTTTCTTTTCCTTTGATCCATTTTCTTTGATTGGCTGCTCTTACCGCGCTTTGTGTCTGGTGAGGCGAAAGTAGGGACCGGACAAGGGTACATTGGCGCCCCCTGGAGGGAGTGAGGCAAGTACTCTGAAAACAAACACAGGTATACTGTTTAAATATGCTGGCAATTTAATGAAGAATATGGTTGGTTGGCTGGTTGGAGTTTTAACGCCACTCTGAACAATATTCCAGCTATATGGCAGCAGTCTGAAAATATTCAAGTCTGGACCAGACAATCCGGTGATCAATGAAGACTATGAATAAAACAACCAGAAAACATGGAGTGAGTGAGTGAGTGAGTTTGGTTTTACGCCACTTTTAGCAATATTCCAGTAATATCACGGCGGGGAACACCAGAAATGGGCTTAACACATTGTACCCATGTGGGGAATCGATCCTGGGTCTTTGGCGTGACGAGCGAACGCCTTAACCACTAGGCTACCCCACCGCCCAAGAAAACATGGAAGAAACATGGAGATCTCATAGTTGTTGATGTTGACTCTCTAAGATACATTCAGAATTTTTAGCATTCATTCCAGAAAAGTGTGATTTGATGTGTAATGTGGTCTGTTGGTTTAAGACATTACTACCTAAAAAATAAACAAGAAAAAAGTACATTAAAATTCATTTGACAGTTTATTTTCCATCTTAAAATTTGTAAAAGTGCTATAATGTTCATATATCTCATGTTAGTTGTAATAAATGAAATTGAAAATTTAAGTTGGTAGAAAATTGAGAAGATAAATAACATGGATTTCAGAGGATATTATTTATCTCAATGCCCTGTAAAATTTAGCATTGCTATGGTAAGAAAATAATAATCATAATCACATTATGTCCTAACCATCTCACACAAAGATGTATCTTAAGTGTAGCTGATTATGTTTCAGAAACAATATCAGTTTTGTCACTGGGATAGTTTATAAAATATACTACACATCCAACATCATTTTTTTTGTTTCTGAGTACACAATGCTTCATCAATTTAAAAAAAATGAAGTTTAGCTTTTCCATTTATACAAAAACAACTTTTGCCAGGTATAAATTCCAGAAATGTTATAGTTTTACACATCTTCTTAAAGTTTCAGTTTCCAGGTCGTTGTTGTTTGTGAAAAGGTTTTGAAGATTTCGAATTTTTGCCATTTGCTTCAACAGGTGTTTGTTTTTCAACAAATATGACTTCCACGGTGAAGCAACACATGTTTCAGATTCCACAATCTTGTGGTTTCCCAAAGGAAAACTTTGGCAAAAAAGTGACAACATTTTGATTGCACACGAGTAAGAAATCTGGGCCTAGATTTTCGAAGCTCTCTTAACGCTAAGATAGTCATAAGTGCCATACATTAACATTAATTTACGACTATCTTAGCGCTAAGAGAGCTTCGAAAATCTAGGCCCTGAGTCCTATTACATTAAAAGACATTACCCTATATTTTCACACCCATCCCTTAACTTATACTTCAGGAGTAACTAAAGCTATTCATATTTGGCAAAACTGTTAACACCTATCATATTTTTAACACCCAGCCTTCACTAATTATCACATTCTAAAAAAAAATGTGTTTGATTGGAAATCCATCTGTACTCATACAATGTCATATTTGAAGGGTGAAACGGTACACTCTTAACACCGTACGGTACACATTGCGGAACAAGGCCTTCGGTTCGGTCCGTTTCGGTTCGGTATATGAGATATTATCACAATGCAGAAAATTGACAAGAGCCAAACCTGACAATGTTATTAACATGTGAAAAGTAATAGCCATAGTCTTTGTTATTTTGAATGAACAAAACTGTCATTTTATGACTTGACAGAAGTGAGTGAGATTGGTTTCGCCCGTGAGATTGGTTTCGGGGCGCTGGCTTTAGCAATATTCCAGCAATATCATTAGGCGGGACACCAGATTATAACATGGGCTTAACACATTGTACCCATGTGGGAAACCATAAAAAAAAACTAACAAGATCTCACCGGTCTTGGGTGTGACTGACGACTGAGTTTAGTTTTACAAGCAATATTCGCTAACGCTTAACCACTGGGCTACTTGATTGTGGCGAATAGCAGCTTTACCCTCTACACATTTAGAAGCATGACAGGTAGTCTTGAACAAAACACTTATTTTTCATATCACAGACCTTCTACCACTGAGTTATGGATATTTTAACATTGTTATTGAAGGTGAGGTGTTCATTTTCCTGCATAATCTTGCTGTAAAATGATGCATTAACATTTTGGACTTAGTCATGGGTTATGCATGAAAATAATTGTTGAAAAAAATATTTTTAAATAAAATAATAGTTTTAATGAGGACAAATGTAATACAATTTTCGGTCAACATCATAGCTATTATGCCCAAATTCTAATGACTGGCATCTCTGTATACAATATAATGTTTCCATGCTCACCTATATCATTGAAATATACCATGGTTATTAGGGCTTCCACGAGTACTCGGTACTCGAGGGCGACTTCGCTAAAGCTGGACTCGAGTCCATTTTCTAGGACTTCGAGGACTTTTAAAAATAACCTTATTGGGTTACGTTGAGAGATAGTATGTCTGCCATGTGCTAAGCATGTACTGATTATATATTTATCAGATGATAAAAATGAATAAATATATGTTTGACTGTTTATTTACACATTGTACTTTAAGGTCTGAACATTTATTTTTCCCATTAATGAAAATAATGAATTCATTAGGTAAAAAAATACATCAAAAGTTAAAATATGAGGAATTTTTTCCACATTAATGAAAAAACTGAATTAATTTGGTAAAATATATATTTTAAAGCTAAAATATGAGGAATTTTTTCCACATTAATTAAACAACTGGGTTCATTTGGTACAAAATAAATAAAAGCTAAGATATGAGGAATTTTCCACATTAATTAAAAAACAGAATTTATTTGGTAAAAAATTTAAAAGCTAAAATATAAGGAATTTGCTTTAATGTGTGATAAAAATACAAGCTTATAATCCGTAAAATTAATGTCACTGAACGGACGAGGTGTGGCAAGTTGCATCATCAATACACCTCCTGTCATGATTTCATCTTCCGAACCCGCTGGTGATGTAAAAACATGGCACAACCAAGAAGGCAAATCAGTCACTATACGCCTCCTGAAGGCACTATGCCGAAATGGCATGCAGAGTGGTATTAATGTACTACTTCCCTAAAAGAAGCCATAAGGATAGACATCCATGAAGCAAACATTCTGTGACCTTATATGACTGATGGTAGGAGATAGGGCAATATTTGTAGGCTCATAGACCAGATGCCAATGACCCTGTATGTGTTCCAGGGGGAATGAAAAGAGGTGTGTGTGTGTGTGCGTGCGTGTGTGCATGCGTGAGTGAGTGCCTGAGAGAGCATCAGAGTATCCTGTTTTCTGAATGAGGGTTGAGGGACAGTGTTTATTTTTCTTGTTTGAAGAAGAAAAGAAGGAAGAAAAGTATTAAAAGAATAAAAGTATGATCATGTTTCTAAAGGAGAGTCAATAAATTTGTTGTTCAGGGAAAACCAAGTTCTATGGATAATGAACTTCTTTATTGCAGCATTTCGGTGTAGGTACTATTTAAACCGTTAGCAAGCAAGTGATTCCTTCATCTTTACAACTTCTAAAAAAAGAGCTTAGTATTTCTTCCAGTTAATTCTGCAACAGAGAGATTTTTTTCTCTGATTGTAAGGGAAGGAGTTCTAATGTGAGAGTGAGTGTGAGTGTATCTGAGTGTGTGAGTGAGAGAGAGTCTGTGATCCCTGTGCAAAGAGAGAGAGTCTGTGTATCTCTGTGTAAAGAGAGAGAGAGAGAGAGAGAGAGAGAGAGAGAGAGAGAGAGAGTCTGTATCTCTGTGTAAAGTCAAAACGCAAATCATATCTGACAGTTACAAACACTTTCAGAGCTAATTGTGATAGCAGCCAGTCTCGTATTGGCACTGTCTTTGTCCTTGGTTATGTAAAATACAAGGATGAATTTGATTTGAATTTAAATTTTCGGCATTTGATGCTGTTCCTACATAATACGCAGAATCTATCTTGAACTTTCAACTATGCAACAATGGCTTGAAAACTGTGACAAAATTACATTGTTAAAAATTTGATAATTTTGATATTGATTTTCATAAATTCAGAGGAATTTAAAAAATGATTTCAATTTTGGGGCATTTCATGCTATTCTTACATAATACGCAGAGTCTTTCTAGAACTTTTAACTATGTGACAATGGCTGGACTATTGGGAATAAATTACATTGTTAAACATTTGATAATTTTAATATTGATTTTCATAAATTCAAAGGAATTTAAAAAATTGAATTCAATTTTGGGGCATTTCATGCTATTCTTACATAATACGCAGAGTCTTTCTAGAACTTTTAACTATGCAACAATGGCTGGACAATTGGGAATAAATTACATTGTTAAACATTTGATCATTTTAATATCTATTTTCATAAATTCAAAGCAATTTAAATTAAATTAAATTTTGGAATTTTTACTGTCAATTGCTGCAGACTTGGAGTCGATTTAATATCGGCATGAGCAAGTCAAGATAATCCTGAATACTGGAATGTGTAACATTATTTCTGAAAGCCTGTGTATGGTTGTACAGTCTACACAGGTCTACATTCTTCACACAATTGATTTGCCGATTAAGTAGACAATGCTTTCCAATTTCAAGGTAGGGCTACGTGTATTAATGGCATAGAAGACACCCACATTAATTTGAGTATGCATTAAGTGAGCCATGATGACCTACAAGTGAGTGAGTAAGTCGTTGTTGAAGCCATTTTCCACATTATTCTACCTCATGTCAGTTGAACGTGGAGAGAAACCTGGCAGGAGTGTCTACCACTTTGCCGAATTCAGCCTGGATATGACGTAGAATACTTGACTTTAATAATCTGGGGTGATCTTGGATCCAAACATGTTTTTGAATCATGTATACTTATGAAAATATTACGATGTCACAAGGATATTTTGAAATCTGTTTTCAAGAACCATTCAGTCCTTCAGAGGCATCTTGTGCTTGTGAGTTTGCAAGATTCTCTTTTGTCTTTGAGGTAATGACTTTCTTTGTACAATTATAATG